GGGGGGGGGGCAGAACTTACCGTAGATCCAAGGGTCGCTGATGATGACAGTTCCTTCTGGAAGTTGAAGCTTTGCGATTTCTGCCTTGACTTGCTCATCCTCGAGAGCGATCTGCTCGACTCGGATAATCTCGTCTCCATCTGCATTGCTGTGCACGCACGGGCCGAGACGAACATTGCTCTCAACCTTTGCTTGACTCAAGCTCACGATAGCCTCATGGAGTTTGTTCTACCAAAGCGAATCAGCTCGGAAGCACCAAAGCGAGCGGTTGTTAGACTAGACTTACGGTATTTCGGAGATAGTAAACAACGAAAGCTCGCCGTTCGATAGTGGGCGTTGGCTTTCCCGCATGTTCAGCAGCCAGGAAAGGGACCAGTTTAGCCTTCTCTGGCTCCTGCAATGTGATGCTCTTGAACTGAATATCCGTGCCCGCTGGCCACAACGATCTGATGATTTTTGCCGACTCCTTGATCTCGCCAGCTGTGAGAGGGCCAAGAGGATGCTGTGGCGTCGACTTCTTTGCGCCGGCGATGGGGAGAGAGGTGGGAATTTCCACGGTAGACATGATGAATGTGGATGAAGAAGATGCAGGAGATAAAGGAGATGAAGTACTGGAGGTTGATGAAGAAGAATTAGGGGAGAAATATCAATTTATATACTTGTCAGATGATGCAAAAGTTATCAGGTTGATGGAGCTACGGGTATCGATACCCGAACGGCAAGCTATCGGATCGTGGCGATATTCCGCCCCACCATAGACCTCGCCTCGGATGGACATACCGGATGCAGTTAGTTTGCATGAGTCGATGGGACCGGCAGCTGTCAAATTTTACTTGAACATCGGTCAAGGATTTGTCGCTTTTCATTCAACAACATCCGGCTTCGGCATGGGCGAGATAACCGAGCACCACGGGTAGGTAAGGTGGCCGGGAGTCGGTTTATAGTCAACAAAGACAACGAACGAGATTGCCCAGACTCAAGTGCAATGATTGGTCTAAGTGAAGGAATCCGATGTCCGACTGCTCAGTCAGGTTGCTTGCTATCACACGTTTCGAACTTGGGACTTGAGTAGGAGATAAGAGCAAAAAGCGGCGGCTCGCTTAATCCACTGTTCGGCTATTGTTTATATCAACGTCAAAGTCAACGACGAGTCTTTCAGCGGCTTTCTTCTATGTGACTTTGATAGGCGAGATGTAGGACTCTGGCTAGCGTTTGGTGTGGTTATGATAGAGGGCGAGTTAGGTGGAGGAAGAGATTAAGTCTAGTTGTGGTTCTTTGCGGGATAGGCTGGTGGTTGCCATGTTGGGAGAGATTGGGCCACCGGGAGCAGCGAAGGAGTTGAAGCAAGGACAGTGCAAAAGTCGAAGCTTCTCGCTCTATGAATTGTATCTCCGAAAATTTCATTTTCATTGTTGCTACATCGGGTTGAACGTAATAGCTAGTCCACTCCTTTGTTCGGGGGAGCTTTTAGCCACCGCGATTCCCATCTTTGCATAACCGCCCCAACACTACATTGTGCACCTGGGGCAGAGTGCTGATTCCTAACAAGGATATCAAATCGGTATAGTACGGGCAGACTATTGAGCTTGTAGCCAGCACTTGTGCTCACGGTTCACTATATCCTTGAAGAGAGCTGGTTCGTGCAGTCGTCGACCGGATTCCGTGACAATGCTCAGCCAGAGCCCTCTGCCACCGGCAAGTATCGACTCCACTGACCGTCAGCCCGCCGTTTCATCCCCATGCCGATGTTATGTGAGCGAACTCTTGATTTGCAGCCGATGTTATCAAGCCTTTTTGACTATGTGTCATATTTTCATACCCAGATGCAGACGCCTCCATTTTGCCATCTTCTCCTGCGCAATAGCCACTGCCGAAGAATACTGGAACTTGTTAATGATTTCCTGCCCTGGAATTGGCATGCGAGCAAGTGCTTCTAGAATAGAGACTCTCTCACGTTGCTGGGGATTCTACTCCGTTCATCAGTTTGGAAGCACGTGAGGGTTGTTGAGAGCGGACTACCAGTTGCTCCTTGACACCCTCCACGACGAGCATGAACAGGACCTGCATAGTGTAATATGCATCATTCCCGGCAACGTGGAACTTCTGCCGCGGGATATTGTACCCTATGGCTAGATCCTCGAGCGAAAGCTGGCGGCCGATGGGGATTATACCCTCTGCAATACTCATTGTTTCCAGACGGCGGCTTGGGGCCTCCCAAATCCATCCTTGTTCATCCTCCACAGATCGTTAAATAGAGCATGGCCTACCAGAACAGCATTGTCTGTTGCCGAGGATGAGAAGTCCTGCACGATGCGACGCACCTCGGATCTATCGACACGTGCCGCATTGCTGCCAAAAAATTGCGATAATTTTCGAGGATTACTACGAATGTCCATCAAGTTGAAGTTGAAGCTCGTAAGAGATTCTTGGAAGTCGGTCAAGGAGGCGGTGCCGGTGTCAGCGATGGACAGCTGCTCGAGGGCCTCAGAGTAAAAGACACAGAGTCCCAGCTCTCGGACTCCAATACCAACTGTCGGGCCCGCGAATTCACAGTCGATCGAGACGAATCATGTTGGCGGCGCTCTGGAGGACTCGGGGAGCAGGCCAAAGCCCTTTTGAAGCAGATGAATTTTAGAGCGCAGTTTCCTGGAAGCGAGTGCGACCGTGGGCGCGGAGCTCATCGTGGGGGAGGGGGGAGTACTGAGATACTAGTCTACTGTAATTATTAAATATGCCTTCTTTTACTATACGAAGCGCCCCTGGTCGGCCTCCATGGCAGTGGGTCACAAGGCCACAAGGCTGAAGCCGCAACTCAGCCCAACTTCTACTCTCTGCCCAGCTCAACACCCCATCCCCAAGACAAATACACAGCCGTCCCGCGGTACGATACCATGGCCGACGCCGACGATGCCTCCTACATCGACTACGAGGCCTTCCTCGACCCGGCCTTCTCGCCTGCGCTGTTCGCCAACAGCCTTGTCCTCACCACCAACAACCCCACTGATACGCCCCTCGACCTCTCCACGCCGCTGTCCCGGGTGCTCTTTGACGCACAGGAAATTAACACGCACATTGACGCCCTCACCACGAAAAGCGCCCTTCCCCTGCTCTCCCATACCCAAGAACAGACCGCGTCCAGCGGGCGGATCGTGCAGGAGATCGACTCGCAGGTCGCGAGTTTGAACGATGGCTACAAACGACTCGAGAAGGAGGTCCTGGTGCGCTACGAGACAGCCGAAGAAGTGCGCGCCGTCGCAGCGAGGTTGTGGGAGACGGTCCGGCTAGGGAGATCGGTTGGGCGGTGTCTGCAACTGGGACGCCAGCTGGAGATCCAGCTGGCTGAGGTGGTAGGCACAGGAAATCCGGTGAAGGTGCCGGGGCAGAAGGAGGACCACAGAGCTCTGGTACGGTGTTCGAACACGCTGCTCAGCTTGCGGGATCTGTTCTCAAAGAAGGCGGAAGGGGAAGAGGGCTATGGGCTGGAGAAGGTCGATGTTGTGCGGACGTTGCGAAACAACACCATCAACGATGCCGAACGGTCGATCCTCACCAAGTCCCAACAAATAGTGCGGGAGTTCTCGATGAGCACTCTATCATCCGGATCCAATACGGCCACTTTCGCGCAGACTACGGACACGAAAGCCAGGACCACGTCGGCCCTGCTATCTCTATATCTACTCTCGCCGGTTCCCGATACGAAAAAGACGGACAGGTGGGAGCCGCAACTTCTGATCAATACGCTGCAGGAATACCTCCGCACGGCGCTCACATCTTCTCTGGCCTCACTTGCGAGAGCTCTCGCCACCCTACCCAATCTCGATCGAACCCTCCTCGAGGTCTCCGCCCGCTGCCAGAACATCCTCGCACTGGAATCGCTGCTCTCAACCACTAGCCCGCCATCACATCCAACTCTCCCCGCGTCTCTGGCGCCCATAAATTTTCTACAGCCCCTCTTGTCGAGTCTGGAAACGGGCAGTCTGGCAAGCTACTTCTGGCGGACGCTGGCGGGAGGACTGACGACCAAGACGATGGAGATTGTGAACAAAGGTGGTGTAAGTGCACGGACGTTGAGGAGCAATAAGAACAGTGTACGGGATGCTATTCGGGGCTGTGTTGTGAGGGGTAGTACGCCGCCAGCGGGTATCAGTGCGAAGACGAAGGGGGGGGATGTCGAGCGGGCTTGGGAGAGGGAGATTGCTGTGATGGTGGGGAGTGTGGTTGGAGCGTTAGGGAGGTGATGAATTCGGGGCGGGGAATTCGGACATGGGATGGGGGATTCGGCTATCTGGCTGTCTGATCTTTGAAGTCTGAATACTCATCATGGCATCAAGCATGTATCAGATATTTCAGCACAGCACATATAAACTAGGAGACTTCTAGGGCCACGACTGGTTTTTGAGGGCGAATGTTTGCCCGACGGCCATACCCGGAAGCAAAATTGCAAACCTAAACATGCAGTCTAGATTTACACATAAATTTGACCATATTTTCAAGATGCTGTGATTCCAAAGCCTGGTCTTTCATCTTCGCAAAGACTTACCTATCTATTCCACACGGGTATCATTTGGATATAAAGAAGTCGATGTCAATATATGAAATGGCGCTTACAACCAGTCCGGGGGTCAGGTAATACAAGGCGCCGCTAAGCCAAACCTTTTTTAAACGTCACAAGTCGTCTTCTGTACCACGGATGAGAATGATGATCCAAGTTTAAACGACCAATTCGATGCATCAACTACGGTACCATCTACCACACAAGGGGGCTAGTGGTGTTGGTGGGGCTAGTGGGAAGAGGCGATAACCCACGATTATACCTATACCCACCTACCACGCATCTCTTTGTCCCCTCCAACTTTATAATTTTTCAGACATCCACACCCACCTCTTCCCTACAGTCATAGCATAGCCTAACTCCTTTTCTCTCATTTTACGTGTACGGACTCAGCTCAACTCAATTATATTCAACCTCCATAAAGACCCCGGTCCAATCCGATATATAAATTCTCGAGCATGTCGACGACCCCCGCAAAAGACATAGCTCCGTCCCCGGACAGACTGGCGAGACAAATCCCCCACAGCCTCATGGTCTCAACTTCGCCCCCGTTCAACGTCTCCCCCACTGCAGCCTTCCATTCCCCGCCTCCCAACACGGGCGGGGCCAACTTGAATCCCAACCCGGCCCAATCTGCGCCAAAGCAGTTGAAGCCTTTTAACACCACTGACATCAAGATCTTGCTGTTGGAAAATGTCAACGAGAGCGGGAAGCAAATCTTAACCGCGCAAGGCTACCAAGTGGAGGCATTGAAAACCTCCCTCCCAGAGGACGAATTAATAGAAAAGATCCGGTGGGAACTTGTCTCTTCTCACCAGACGCTGGGAGTTGGCTGACAATGTCGCTAGTGATATCCACGTTATTGGGATTAGATCAAAGACCAAGCTCAGTGAGAAGGTCCTCCGGGAAGCCCGGAACTTGATTGTAGTGGGCTGCTTTTGTATCGGTACCAATCAGGTCGACCTCGAATTTGCGGCGAGAAACGGCATTGCGGTGTTCAACTCGCCTTTTGCGAACTCCCGCAGTGTCGCAGAGCTGGTCATTGCCGAGATTATTGTCCTTGCCCGTCAGCTGGGTGACCGTTCCAGCGAGTTACACCAGGGAACGTGGAACAAAGTCAGCGCAAAGTGCTGGGAGATTCGGGGCAAGACACTTGGTATAATCGGATATGGTCACATTGGCTCGCAGCTCTCAGTGCTGGCTGAGGCCATGGGCATGTCTGTCATCTACTACGATGTTCTCAACCTGATGGCTCTCGGAACGGCGAAGCAGGTCCCAACTCTCAAAGCTCTTCTTAACCAGGCAGATTTTGTCACATGCCACGTTCCTGAGCTCCCTGAGACGAAGAACATGATTGGAGCCCCTGAATTCGAGCAGATGAAGAACGGAAGTTACCTGATTAATGCCAGTCGTGGTACCGTTGTCGACATCCCCGCTCTCATCAACGCTTCCCGCAGCGGCAAGATCGCTGGAGCTGCTTTAGATGTGTATCCAAGTGAGCCTGGTGGCAACGGCGACTACTTCACCAACGACCTGAACAGCTGGGCAGAGGATCTTCGCAGCTTGAAGAACATCATTCTCTCTCCTCATATTGGAGGCAGTACCGAGGAGGCTCAACGCGCTATTGGTGTTGAGGGTATGCTCGACCATTCAGGATACCTGTCTCTTGCTAACGTGGCGCAGTTTCTGACGCTCTGGTTCGCTATGTGAACTCCGGTGTCACTCTCGGGTCTGTCAACCTCCCTGAAATCAACCTCCGCTCTCTGACTCTGGACGAGTCGCACCATGCCAGAGTATGTGGTCTCTTGTCACTGCCAGCCAGATGGATCGTTACTGACCACAACAGGTCATCTACATTCATCATAATGTGCCTGGTGTATTAAGGAAGGGTAAACATATCACCATAGCGTCCCTGACAGTACGGCTCACATTTTACAGTCAACGAAATCCTTGGCGACCACAACGTCGATAAGCAAATCACCGACAACAAAGGAGATGTTGCCTACCTCATGGCGGACATCAGCGACGTGCAACCCAGCCAGATCATCGAGATCTTCGACTCCCTGGAGGCTTTGAGCTGTAAGACCTGCTGCTGCACCCCCCCCCCGGACTTGATTACTAACCGGTACCGCAGCCCGAATCTTGACCCGAATTTTGTACTGAGATGGTCGATTGCATGGAGCAGGAAGGAGGTCGGCATTTTGATAGCATTCAATGCGGCGATTCGGGTCTTGGTCATGATTACGACCCCCAAGGATAGAATCGGAAAGGTGTTCCCGTTTAGACTAAGCAGAGGTATATCTTTACAAAGTACAAAGTGACTCTTTGTGCGATCCCAGTAAGAGAACGGATAGGGATGTACGCGCTGGACGTGAGAACCAACTGCGATGCCGTTGGAGGAGAAGGGGGGGGGGGAGTGAAGCTTAATCCCGGTATACCTATCCATCTACCTTACCTCATCCACCTCCCGTCTCCGCCCTCCGCCCTCCGCCCTCCGCCCCGCCCTCGCTCACGCCTCCGCGAAGCGCCGCCAAGCGCGAAGCGCGGAAGCCGAGCTCTCATTCAAGCGCACGTGAACCCCTCAACGGACAACGCGAGCATCGCAGCCCCGCGTGCCGTCTCGCGGTACAGTACCACAGTACCACAGTACCACAGTACCACACTACCTACCTACCGGCCAACCGGCGGTATCCAGGCCTGCTCGCCATCGCCATCGCCATCGCCATCGCCATCGCCATCGCCACTGGCGCGCTCCTCATCTCCATCCGAGGTTCGGACCTGGCGAGCAGGAAACGATTTTTTTTTTTTTTAATCGTTCTTGAGGTTGGTTGGTTGGTAGGTAAGGTAAGTAGGTGGTTGAGGGTCGCTTGTGGTTAGGTTGGGTGGTAGGTAGGTGGGTGGTTGGTAGTGTAGTGTAGTGTAGGTACCGGTAGTATACATGGGGGGGTGGATGGATGGATGGGTGGATGGGTGGATGGGTAGGGGAGGGGAGGCGAGGCTGATTGCCTCGTTGTGCTGTGCTGTGCTGTGCTGTGCTGTGCTGCCGGCTAGCGGTGGTGGTAATGGTAATGGTAATGGTAACGGTCGGTAACGGTCGGTAACTGTACTGGATTACTTACTGGATTACTGGATTACTGGATTGCTGGATTGCTGTGTATGGTGGGTATGGTGGGTATGGTAGGTGGGTATGGTAGGTGGGTATGGTAGGTGGGTATGGTAGGTACAGTATAGGTACCTAGGTACCTAGTACCTACCTTAGGTAGTCCTGGACATGGGGGACAAGGGCGCAAGGCGCAAGGGGCACAGGGCACAGGGCACAGACAGCCAGTGTCGCTCGGCGCAGAGAGAGTTGTGGCGAAAATCGAAGAAGGAAAGAATAAATACATAAATAAATAAATAAATTAATTAATATCAAAAAGGTTTCCTTTCCTTTCTTAGGATGTGGAAAGGGTTGGGCTGCTTTGGGGGTTGTGCGTGCTGCGTGCTACGTAGTACGGTACGTGCTTACGACTTGGTGGGGGTGGGGGTGGGGGTGGGAGAGGGAGGGAAGAGGGGAGAGGGGAGGGAGGAGGAGAAAGTCTGATTGATTGCACACTGGGGGGGGGTATGGATGATGATGATGAGAGAAGGGGGGGGGTGGCGAAGTAAGGTGAGGACGGTAAGTAGTAGTAGGTACGTAGTAGGTAAGTAAGGTAAGTACCGGTAGAGAAGGACACAAGTCCTAACACAGACACAGACACGGACTTCGCTCGACTGCATGATGAAAATAGGACGTAGTACCTAGCAGTTGTTGTAACTACCTAGGTAGGTAACGTATACGAGGTGAAGAAAGCAAGTAACATACGTAACATACGCAGTATACATGGGTGGAGAGAAATAGATACGATACGATATCCTTTCCTGAAAGCCTTTCCTTTCCTTCCCCCTCTCTCCTGATCCCGTGTTTGGATCTGCATCTGCATCAAGCAAGATCAAGGATGGATAAATAAATCCCAATTACGTAGTACGTAGTACGTAGTACGTAGGACGAGGAGAAAAGGAAAAAGATTAGATATACGTAGTACGTAGTACCGGTATATATATAGATATAGATGAAAGTTCAAAAGAATTCAGAATCGAAACAGATTGGAAAATGTTATTTCGAAATGAAAGATGACGACACTTGCAGCCAGTCAGTTAGTCAGTCAGTTAGTGCTTGACGGGGAACGCACCCTCGATCGGGAGATCCTGACCTGACTCGGGAGTCGGGAGGGAGAGGAAGAGAGGAAGAGAGAGGAGAGAGAGAGAGGAAGAGAAAATACGAAAAAAAAAAAAAAAAAGATTGAAACGGAAAAAAAGATTGAAACATCAGCCGCGTCGTGTTCATTCGTGAACTATACCATACCATACCATACCATAGCAGTACAACTCTGTACAACTCTGTACAACTCTGTACAACTCTGTACAACTCTGTACAACTAACCGTACAACTAACCGTACAACCGCACAACATGGAAATGGGTGGCGTAAACCCCCAAACCCAAAACACAGTACTACCGGTAGCACGTAGCACGTAGTACGGACTGTACCTACTACCGGTACCGGTACTAGTACTACTACTAGTACGTACCGGTAGTACGTAGTAGCAAACCCGGGGTGCACCGTGCGGACACGGCTAAAGCTGGTAGGGACCGGTATGGTAGGGACCGCTACGGTACGGTACGGTATGGTACGGTATGGTATGGTAAACCTGCTCGCTCGCTGTGTCCTGCAATCGAATGTCGAATCGCGAATGTCGAATCTCAAACAAGAAACAAAAAACAGAGTCACCGCGTCGTCATCGTCATCGAGATGTACTACTACCTATGGTACCTACCTACCTACCTACCTACCACGGGTACGGTATGATGTGATATGAGCTCGCGCTCTCGCTCTCTCATACCACGCGTGAGAACCCGTCGTCAGTACGCTACGCTACGGTATGCTACGGTACCTCATGTGCCGGCACGGAATGCAATGCAATGCAATGCAATGCAATGCTCGATACCGTACCTACCGTACCTACCGGCCGGTATCTACCTACCTAGGTATGCTCGCGCCACCTTTTTTTTGGGGGGGGGGGGTGTTTTCTTCTTTTCTTCTTCCCGTCCCTGTCCTAGCCATCCCGTCCCAGCCATCCCGTCCCAGCCATCCCAGCCAATCCCATGCTGTACCATCCCGTTCCCGCCCCTCTCTCTCTCTCTCGCGAGAACAACCGCCCCCCCCGCCCCCGCCCCGCCTCAAAAATAGATTCCGAAACGGGCTCCACGCCGAAAGTTTTTTGGGCTTTCCGCTCTCTGGGATCTGTAAGTACTGTAGTAGTAGTAGGGTAGGGTACGGGAGCTTACTTCCTATCCTTCCTATCCTTCCTATCCTTCCTATCCTCTTATCCTCTTATCCTCTTATCCTTACTTACCGGTACTATCCTTACTTACGCAGTACGAACAATTACGAAAAGCGCAGCTGGCTGTGCGCTTGCGCTTGCGAGAGAGAGTTTCTTTCTTTCATTCTTTCATTCATTCTTAAATAAGTAAAACTCTTTTTTTTTTTTTTTTTTTGGTTATTTTTTTTTTTGTTTT